TACTTAAATTTTTCATTATCAATTTTATGAAGAAAAATTTTTACTTATAAACATTCTTTTTAGATGATCACTTGTCTTCTGACATTAATCGTCTTTTGGATTGATACAATGTCATTAGCGATCGCTACAGCAGTAATGGATATACTCTTGCAAGGATTGTATAGTTGGGAATTTATAAAAAATTTACCCCCTGGCAACGGCAGTGTACCAAAAATAGGTGCAATTATTATGACAAAGATTACTTGCCCAAAAAAATAATTTAATTACCTTTATTCATATAAGCATAAAGAAATTCAAATTGTTCTAATAGTATTCCTTTGAAATAGATTATTTGTATTTTAAATGGACAACATATGTCAATTCAAATTATTTCTGATTTTAAATTTTTTTATAAAAATTTTATTTTAGTATTATTCTATGGTATGAATCTGTTGTTGACAGGAATAGCGTTCATTCTGCATGTTATTATAGCTTATTTGGTCTATATTCTACCTGAAAATTTGGAACTACCATTCCAAGTTAGATCTTTTCTGTTCATTTTACCAAAAAAGAAAGATTTCGAAAAAATTTTATGGAAAAAAATTGAATAAATTAAAACCTTAACTGATTTCATGTTCCAAAGCTAACTTTTTTATTTTAAATTGCTTTCAAGCTGTTTTAAAAAATTTTGTTAGTTTTTGTTCATAAACATGAAATCAGTTAAAGTGTCTGTTTTTTTTCATTATCAAATATCACAGTATTCAATTTTGTCTGTTACAATTTCTCCTTTTTGTTTCGTTTCAATATTTCAGTTAACTGATATAACGGAACGACTGAAGCAAATGAGACCATTCAAAGTTAAAGGATTTTCATTCGATCCTCAAAAATAAGTTTTTTTTTTGAATGTTTCTACAAATTTGACTAATTATTTTATTTATAAGGATTCTGTTTATTTTGCTTACCATAACATTTGCCATCTTTAATAAGTGTGCTAACTACATATATATGTCATCAAACGCTTTGAAGTATTTAGATTAAAGATTACAATTAATAAATTTTAAAACAATACGAATTTTAAGTGTAAAATATAAAAAAGTATTAGAATTTAGTAATTTACTAGGTCGGAAAGAATAGAATTCGATAATGTTGATTGGAGTTGGTATCTTTATAATATTTGGTTTAATCGAAAACTTCTTTTTTCCTGTCTGAATTCACCAATATCAATTTATTTTGATTTTATAAAACACTTTATTAAATTTAGAAAATTTGGCCGAGCCTGCTGGTGATATTGTTACAATCATAACTGTTAATAGATTATGTTATAATGATGATAATGACAGATTTAAACTCAAGAAACAAAATACCAAATAATCAATATAATACAATTAAGTATTAGACTAAGTTTATTATACCCTGGACTAATTCTTTCATTTGCTGGATCTTTTATAATTAGCAACGGTATAATGCATGATGTAAATATAATTCCAACATCAATTATATTAAATAAATTGATATTTTTATTTGAAATATTTTATATCTTTAACTACAGCAAAACCTATGAAATCTAAAAAACGATTCAAAAAATAAATAAGAAGCTCCTAATTTAAGCTTTTAACCGGTGATTGCCAAGATGAAGAATATCATCAACAAGATCAGAAGCAGCAACAGTACGACAATATTATAGCGATGGATCAAAATCCTATATTTCCTTCTACCACTACCACCACTGCGGAATTACAAAATCCTGCAACCAACGAAGGCGAAAATATGGCATTAACTGATAACTCCAACTTATCACGTATCATTTTGTTAGAATACCATAAATTAACAAGCTTGATCAATGCAAGGAGAGAATTCGAAAATGATACAAAATGCTCAAGAAAATTATTTCAGCTTTTATAAATATAAATTAATCATAGCAGTGGTTATACAAAGTAAAGTAGAAATCTAATAGTTAATTTTGTAAATTTGAAATGGTTTTAACATGCAAATTCTTTCTTATAAATATATGGAAATTTGATTTGTAATCGATCTTGTCAAAGTTACATCATATATACTCACATTCTAAATTGTTCAAATTTTAATCATTTAAATGAAAAGTTTCGTCTTTTTAAAGAAGATGCTATAACAGGAAACAATGAGTGATAGGGAGAAGTTAACAGCAATTTTCAGTAACTTGAGTAGTAATTAGTAAGTTGACTGAAGATATTTTAAATTTAATTTCCGAAGATGTTGTACTTTGCTAAGGACTTAAGTAAAGTGATAACTAAATAGAAACAAATGATATATAAACATATAAAAACAGTTTTTTTGAACAAAGTTTGGAATCTCAACATTTTTTCAAATCGCAGTTTTTAAAATTATAAGCAACTGAATACAAACGTTAAAATCGGAACGAAAAAAAGCGATATAGAAAATGAAGCTGACAATAATTTTTATTCCCTATTCCATACGAGTTCGCAAGAAGCAATGGTAGTGTTGCGTGAGAGTACAGAGAAGACGTGATTCAGAAAAAAATAAAGGGTGTTTTTCAGATGGTGTCTATTCACATATTCGATCACAGAGTGGGAGTGAGGTAATCGGTGATGCAGGTGCGAAAACCGCAAAAAATAACGATACTGTAGAACTTGGTCACATCGCTCAACAATTGTATATCATCAGAAGATTGATATTTTTCCTGTTTTTTGTCATTTATACCATTTCCATACCAATTTGCTTGTTCTAATTTATTTCATGTCATAGTTCGTGTGATTGTCGTCATTGAAGAAATGATCAACGCTGACTATTTTATAATTTGAGCTGAAATTCGATCCATTTGTTTCAATTCAATTCTACTCTATACCAAATTCCTTTTATTCAGCTTCATACAAGTTAATCACATTTTAACTTCTTTCATTTCAATCATCCTTAGCTTATGTTAATTTTCTCCAACTCAATTTAATTAATTTTTCTATCTTCCTATGTTTTACTGTCATTAGTTTGTTTAAATATTACTTGTTTTTTAATTACAAAAATTATTATTATGATTAAAATGCAATTTGCAATTGTTTCATCTTTCAGCAATAAATAAAGTTATTTAAATAAATAAAAAATATTTGATTCAGTGCCATTCTATGAAATTCAAGATAACACATTTTTTACTTACATGACAACTGACAAAATTCTTGCAAAGTTGAAAAAATTTAATACTTTTCACTGACATCAATTATATTAAATGTGATTACAGTTATTTGGAGAAATTCTACAAGTTATGTTAATTTCATAAGTGATGGAAGAACTGGAAGTAAGTTATTGATTGACTTCACTTTTTTGAATTTTAAGCAGTTTTATCAAATTCAAAAAATTATGCGTCTCATAAGTGTTTGCGTAATATCGGAATACTTCTGAATATACGGTAGTATAAATTTGATTATGATTATAACAAACAGATGCTAAAACTTTTCTTATTTTAGCATTTTAAAATGAAAGGGCACGTATATTTTTAGGTGCAATCAGTAAGCGATTTAAAAATACATTTCAAATAAAGTACCTGAAGTTGCCAAATATAATAGATTCCGATGGTTGAAAAAATCGGAATCATCAGGAATTTTCAATTTGTCAGAATTTTACAAATCCATTATTCAGGAGAAAATAAAATGAATAAGCATTAAAAATTAATTGCTAATTAAATGCATGAGTTGAAATGATTAAAGCATTTATTGTGAATGGGAAAGGCAAGGAACAAGAAATTTTTAACTACAAAAAATTTTTAATTTTCCTTAAGCGTCACTATTCATAAATTAATCGTTTCAATTGTACCATTTGTATGTACAAATTTTGGAATGACTTCTTATTTTTAAGGCTTAGTCATGGACAAATTAAGAATTCATTTGTGAAAAGCAATATCAAATAAAATCAAATTTAATTTGATTTAGCAAATCTATCCGAGTCAATAATACATAATTAAGTACATTTTGCAATGTTATCGTTTCCATAAATATATGTAACATAAACAGCAGCCATTAAATCATGCTGTTTCATTCACGCGGCGATTATAAGCAAAGTTAATGATTCACGTCGTTTCTAATGAAAAATCCCCCAAGAAAAAAATAATTTTTTTCAAAATAAAAATGAACAAATAAAAAAGCTATTGTGCAAAAAGATGTGATGCAAAGAATTAATTTTAACCAACAAAATTTTTAATAGAAAAATCCCAGAAATGGAAACTTTTTCGATACATTCCTCTCACGTCGATGATTCATCACTGCCCATAGCATTAAAGAGACTAAAAAAGGGCGAAAAAATCTGAAGCACAAAGAAAGCTATTTTTATTTCATTTATTTGTCGCTTATATCCTTTATTGTCATAAGTGGAAATTGCATATAAATACATTTGTATGTAATTTTTGCATGCAATTACTTTCACATTTCGTATGAAAGCAAAAAGGAAAGCGAAAAATATAAAAAAAATCGAACTTTAAATAATAACAATACTATTATTATTCATACATTACATTAAAATGGAATTACGGTACATATAAATACGTATTCATTGCCACAGAAATAACACCAAAAATGCATCAGCCATTCTTTCTTCGAACATTCCCAACAGATTTTGAAATTTTTTTCCTTTTTTATCAATGTATCTTTTCCGATTTCTGAGGATAAAAGAAAAATCTTACTGTGACAAACTCAATGTTTATTACTTTAAGAAAAACATATATTTTGAAATTATTCTCGCGTATGCTATTTAGAAAATATAACAATGCCATTAAAATTTTTTTTAGTTTTTTTAGTGAGAATTAAATGAAAAAACTGCGTCAGCTGGAATGAGGCAGTTTTTTCATTTTCAT